ACCCAATACATCAGTGTCTGCTAATGGGTTCATGGGTAGAGAGAGGCTTTTTGGTTTGTCATCGATTTGTAATTCTTTCTTCAGTTCTATGGCTTTCTGAATTAGACCAGATTGCATTTTCAGATGTCCTGGTCTAGTCTCATAGGTGCTGAAGAACTTGTCCATGGGAATGCGCAGTAGCTTCTCATACAGGAACAAGGCCTTCTCTTTGATAAGGGAGCCTCTTGTGGTGTATTGTGGTGTCTTCCTGTAACTATGAGTGTGATAAGGGAACCTATTGTGGTGCTTCCTGTAACTAGGAGATTGCATCAATAGGTGTTGATTTTATTCCTCTAGTAATTAGTCGTAATGCTTGGTTGTGTGCCTTCTCGTATTGATATGAGAGTCACCTCTGTGGCTGTAATGAGTGGCTCACAGCACTATTGGCTGAATATTTGTTCACAGCAATACAACATTATTGGCTGAATAAACATCTTGTAAGTGGTGTTGAGAGTTGAGCGCGTACTGCCCCATACGCTGCTAGCAAGTCGCAAGATGAAATTTTGGAATGCAGTTTTAGAGGGGTTAATTACCATTCCATTTTTGTCGCACCAGTTTGCTAGTAGTTTAAGTGTACAATTTTTCTAAGGGTCGAAATACCATAGAACAGGATCATCTGCATAAGGTAAGCACTTGATGCCCTTGACTGTCTGTAATAATTCGGCCATATCATTGATGAAGATATTGAAAAGTGTTCAGCTTGTGACAGCTCCCTGTGGAAGGCCTGTTTGTAAAATGCATCTGATAGATCATTTCCATATCTGACTTTACATGATCTTTGTAATAGAGCATTTCCATGTCTGACTGTACATTATCTTTGTCCAATGAATGCTTTTATTCAATTTAGCATGTTATGCTCTTTACCAATCTTTGCCAATTTTAGAATTAGCTTCTCTTTCCATACTAAGTCATATGCTGATTTGAAATGGATGAATACAGCCGTAAGGGTATTTATTGCATTAAGGGCATCTTTGATGTGTCGGGAAAAAGTGGTCACTTGTTGGTTCGTTGATCTTTGTGGCCTAAAACCTGACTGTTCACTCCTAAGAATATTGTTGGTTTCAAGAAACCAGGTCAGTCTCCTGTTAACCATTCTATCCATATGTTTAGCCAGCACGCTTGTGAGGGAGATAGCCCTATAGTTCAGTTCTGGTATTACTATGGCAACTTTCCATTGGTTAGGTACGAGACTAGTCTCTCAGATTTTGTTGAAGTGTTAGCATGGTTTCCTTGGCTTTTGGTCCCATTCTAATTAGAAATTCCGGATAAATACCAGGAGACTCTTTGCACTTGAGTTGTTTTATCGCAGCATGTGAATAGCGTCTTCGCCAGGAGACTTCTTGCACTCGAGCTAAATACCGTCTTCGCCTGGAGACTTTTTACACTTTAACCGTTTTATCGCCGCATTAAGTTCGTTTTTTTCTTTGGGGCCGAGCCCCAGACCCGGCAGGGCGCGTCTAGGTGAACCTACGCAGGTAGCGTGGGTTTGGAATGTAGGCAGCGTAGGCGCCGACGACGGAGAGGACGACCAGCACCAGTACATAGAGCTTTTTGTATCCAAAGTAGCTTAAGGTTTACAAAAGTTACTTTGCAGTCCCAATTGAACTGCAAAGTGCATTCTTCTTTCATCGATTGGCAGGCATTGACGTGACGGTGGATACACCTTGCCTTTTATAAATTCTCTAAATTCGCTCTAGGTGATTTGAGTGCGAAGAAATGGTCAAATTGCTGTGAAAGGAAGGCTTAAGACACCTATATCACAGTAGTTCAATGAATTACTTTCCAGTTATTTGAAACTACCCCCTCCACAATTTTGTGCAAATTCACAAGTGTCTAGTTTAGTGTGACATGGAGAATATGAAATGGTATTCGTTCGAAAATTAACACGAGTTTACTAACTAATAGTAATATAGATTTGCATAGGATTTCATGGGCGTTACTAGTTACGTGGTGGCAATTTATCGCCTATATTGAACTAAGTACAATTTTTTGGGTTTTGGTATTTCCAACTTTCAAAATTGTTCACGATGAGTTTTAGTCAGAAATAAGTTCATATTGATTCAGAAAGAATTTCATTAGCGTTGCAAGTTATGCGGTGGGGATTTATCGACTTTATTGATTCAGGTGCAAATTTGCAAGGTTTTAGTTACTCCAACTTTCCAAATTTTTATCGGCATATAAAACACAATTTGATCTAAGGCCTCACATGAAAATCCCAATTATTAGCCACAGAGATGAATAGGCATTGTATTTTAATTTAACTTACTATTGGCAAACATATTAACCTTCCTTTTCCTTCCTAACTCCTTTCCTGTCTAGCCTTCATCCTAGCGTTAGTTTGGTTGCAGTGGGGCTGGTGTGAAGTAGAATAGAGTTGGAAGCCTGTAGAGACAGTAGTCCAAGCAAGGTAAGGTAAGCAGTAACAGCAGTAGTAGTAGTAGTAGTGTAGCTGTTGCAGGAGGAGCAGCACAGGCTTCCAAGATGCGTTGCTGTCGGGTCCGGGGCTCGGCCCCAAAAACACCAGACCGACGACAACGACGATGGCGAAGACGTTGCTGAGAAAGTTGAGTTGATAGCTTCCATATGATAGGTGGTGGGTGGGCAAAGAGAGGTAGGCAGGCAGGTGGACAAACATGTTAGTAGGTGTGAAGCCCCCACTCAAAGTGGGACCCAGGTAAAATCCATCCCTCACCTCCACGTGGTCCTGGGTGGTAACGTCAGCTTCTAAACTGACGGCTAACGATGGCTCTGGTATGAATACTCCCCATTAATCTCTGGTAAGTGTTTTAGAAAATCTTTTTTTCTCCTTAGTTTTTTATCAATGTAAATATGATTAAATTCCGTTTGAGTTTTGTACACTATTTTTTTTGATCTGGTACATTCCTCGATTTACCCTGGTAGCCCCCAAGTACTATTGTGTAAAGTTATCATCTATTTCTGAATTCGCAAACTTCGATTGGTACAAAGTTTGTTATTTGCAGATTTAAAGCTAGTTATCAAGGGTCATTGATCCCATGGGACTTTGCAGATTAAAAACTCCAATATTTAATTTACCATTTAGCGAATGCACCTTTTATTGATTTTTTTCGTTTGCATTGAAGCCTAATCACGTATTCCATCCGATCAATATAAAGTGGTAGGTGAACTCAGTTTTCACAAAGTTATTTTTCAATTGAAAAGAAGTCACCTATTCTTTCAGTTTATCTCACGTAATCCTCTGTTTTTCGTTCTATATTTGGCATTTGTAGGTTGCCCCAGTGCCCCTCGAACATCTACTCATGTTGAAACTTCCATAACTTTCCGATTGGAAGCAAGTTATCGTTACGATCACCCACTCAACCTATATCTCGTGCTTGTCAATACATTGTTAGTTTTTTGGGCATTCGTTGTTGAAATGAGAGAATTGAATCCTAGTGATGCCGACTTCCCTACTCTTCTCGTTCTACTCGAAACAAAACGCCACAATTTTGTTGCAATAATTTATTATTTGTGTTGGCATTGTAGAGACAATCAACATTTCCTTTAAGTGAACCATTGAAGCGACCTTACTAAGTTGTGACTTTTTCCAATTATATTTATTTCTAACAATGAAAAGGTCAAAAGGTGGCATATGAATACGGGCTAATGAGAATTTTGGCCAAAGTAAAGGTGAAATTTGGGTCTCCTCCATTAAATCAAAATTTGAAACACAATACCTTAAACGGTGGCCTGATGTGGAGTCGAGGCATCTACGTGCATTTTGTGTGGAGTTTGTCTCCAGTCTCTTTGAACTCAAACTGATCGGAGTCGTGGATGCATGCACGCCAGAATCGGGAGGTGTGACCGTACAACTCTCTGTACAGACAACCGCCCAACAAGTAGGAGAATTTACCAAAGAGATTTCTGAGTCAGTGAGGCTTTACTAGTGTAGCAATCCTCTACAAATTGGTGACCCTGGCGTGATTTACTCATTCAAAGCATATTGCCTCACTTGGGAGTGGAGTGCTACCTGGTCAATTGGCGGTAAGAGGGCGCCAAGGTCTTCGTTAGTGGTTGCTATGACTGGCATTCTTGCAAGTAACCACCCTGCTCCATACTTCACATCAACCTCAAACCTGTCTCCTCCAAGGAGACACTAAAAATCGTTCTTTGCCGCTGTCGTAACCCTTGGTTCTTCAATCATCGCAACTGTGCGACTGAGCAAGTTGTCGAAATGAAAGGCTGTCTGATCACCACGACGACACACCGTTCCAATCAAAAGATGCGAGGTTATGAGACTGGCTAGCAGTGCTTCACCAGTGTTGGTCTCCCCTCGGAATCACAGTGTATTGATTTTGGTTGTTTTCTTTTGTCCATGATTTGTACAATGTCGCCTAGAAGGGAGCCAATATCAACGATATTTGCATTGAGCATCGCTATCAACTAGCTAGCACCCAACCCAATATCTTCACGATGCTTCAGATGGCATAATGTTGCAATTCACTGAGGTTTCGCAAGTAGGCATTAGTCTTCTCCTTTGCCAATCGCTCATTATTCAATGCCCGTATCTGCTGCCTAGCAACCTCACCCCATTGAACACCGATTGATGAATTCATGAAGATGGTTCCGTAAGCATTGAATTTATACGAAACCTCGTCAAGGGTTCTTACATTGCGAATGCGTAGTTCTTCCAAGAGATTGAAGTACTTCTGCTTTCTATGCTCCCCCTACCACTTTCTTGAGGTTCGAATTCGTTCACCCCTATTGTCCGGGGAACATGACGAAGCCCACTCTCCAACTCCGACAATCCCGTCTCAGCAGTTTTAATACCCGTCCCATCTCTACCCAAAACTTTGTTACACTAAGGCCGAGGGTCTATCTTCCCCTCTCAACTGGTTGATATTATACATTAACCTTTATTTTCAGCTAACTACAAACGCTCTGGAGGGGCGGGGAGCATTGTGGGACACGTCATCGCATGCATGCACGCCAGGATCAGGAGGTTTTGGCCATACAACTCTCTGTGCAGACAACCGCACAACAAGTGGCCGATCGGAAGCCTCTGTTTGTGAAACCTAATCCGCCAATTCCCCTCGGCGTCTCTGCACTCATGGGAGAGGGCACGAAGAACGAAGAGTACTTACTATTCACTAGTTGAGTGATGCATATGCGGATTCACATTCGCAGATTGTGGTTGAATGAATGGGCCGTTGACGTTGACTAAGTTCAATCTGCACTTCTGCTCTTGCGTAATATCTGTCTGCGCGAGTCGCTACATTTGGTGCAGTGCCAATGGGTAGGAAGAAGTGGAATCATTGGAATCAGTGAAAATAGCGGAATCAGTGGGGAATTGATAATCAGTTTTATGTAGAGGATATCGGAGTTGCTGACATGTTGTGGGCACACTCTCAAGCACGAGTGAAGAGGATGTCGGGAAACTTGTCGCGTATTAGTCTCTTGAATCTCTCCACGTCCGAGTCCTGTCTCCCTTCCACAGACACCACATAGCACAGTTCACTGTGTTTGTTGCGTCTTGCAGCGAAGGTGTTGAGGCGAGCGGCTCGACAGATACGTCTGTCTTCAGCGCCTCCAAGCAAATTAGCGTATTTCTCCTGGATCAACATCAAGCACTTGGAAGTGGAGAACTTCTCGAAGTAGAAGACTTTAACCACGTCGTTGAAGCGCACCACCTTCTTCACTGCTTTCACATCTCCTCCACACCCAATAGCCGAAGCATCACCTTGAGCAGCAACAGCATCAGTAGCATCAACAGCTTCAACAGCGGCATTAGTAGCAGTAGTCGTAGGATTTGTAGCACTCATTTTGCGCTATTCGGTCACTAACTTTTCAACGAAACTCCAGCCAAATGACTTCAATTGTTTAAAATCGATAATTCTTGCATATACTGCCAACACGTGCTTTGACTTCAACGGAATTTGAAAACCACATTTTGGCGCATCTTTTCACTCTTTCTGGTGGGCAAAGTAGTGGAACACGAGAAGGCAGTTTGGGAGGACCCATTGGAAATCTCTCCCTTCCACTACTCCCATCCATTAGTAGGACCAATTGATGTGAACTACTGCTCCATCTAATGCGCCAGTAGCTGTGCAAATCCCGAACTACTTAGTCATATGCGCTCCTTAGCATATGGTTTGGAGATGACGGATGAAGTTCTAAAGGGTTCTTGGTTGAACTGCCTACCTAAAAACTTGGCTACGTCAATATTGACTAGCTCATTCCAATATGATCTAAATAAGTTAGCTGAGATGGCAGATCGGGTGAATAACCGTCTTGACAGCCCAAGTGTTAACGCCGTCAAAACTTCAGCTGCCCCGGATACAGTTACACAACGACTGGATGACCTCACGGAGCAGTTTAAAGAACTGAAGGCGCTTATGGCGGCCTCCGCTTCACGCTCCAAAGGACGGCGTCCTGTTTCACCTAGAGGGCGTCGGACTCCATCAGGGCATGACGACACCATATGTTACTGCCATCGAACCTATGGGGACAGAGCCAGGAGATGTAAGCCTGGATGCTCATACGTGAAGGCCAAAGCACGAAGCCCGTCGGGAAAATCCCACGCCTGGCAGTAAAGGCGACGACTGATCCTGGCAGTTCTCCTAGTCGCCTGCTATACATTACAGACAAGAACTCCGAATTTGCATTCTTGGTGGACACAGGTTCCGAAGTCAGTGTTATTCCGCGATCTTCAAAAAATGCTATACTCAAGCCACCAGGACCTCCCTCGTAGCAGCAAATAATACCCAAATACAAGTCTATGGACAAAAGTTCCTTAATCTGGACCTTTGGCCTCTGTCGAGAGTTCCCGTTTACCTTCTATATCGTGGACGTCCAACAGTCCATCATTGTTACCGATTTCCTCCCAAGATTCCAGTTATTATTCGATCTCAAAGACAACGCTCTACTGGACAATCTTACACCCATGCGTGTGACCGGCTCAAAACGGCCCTTATGTTCTGTTGGTTTGAACGGGCTCTTCCCGGTGGATAATTTATACACGAACATTATATCAGAATTTCCCTCCATCTTTCGTTCGCAATCAGAGATTTCAGGGACCAAGCATAATGTCCAGCACCATTTTACCACAAAAGGACAGCCTGTTTTCGCTAGAGCCCGACGCCTACACCCTAATAAACTACAGGCGGCAAAGCAGGAATTTCAACACATGGATACTTTAGGAATCGTTAGACCTTCAAACAGCCCATGGGCTGTTTGAAGGTCTAA